AGCCGCAATTATTTAAATCGCGGCTTCATTTCCCTTTGCCAAACAAACAAATCTACATGGCTCCGTCGACGGAGCCATGTAGTTTAGACGTACCCTAAGGGACCAGGGCTTAGGTGGGGAAAAGTTCTCCCACGGGAACCTAGTGCTTCTGGTGCCTTGAATGTGGCTCAGGTACCTCGGAGGCTCTGACCTTCTCCAGAGGGTCATCTGGCTCCTAGCTCAGTTAGCAGTAGAAAGGAGCAAACGCCAAAGAGGCTTCTCATCGTGCTCACGTACGTGGACCTGAATTCTCTCGGTCCTCAAGGGGAGCCCCGAAGAAGGAAACTCCCTGCAGCAAAGCCCTAGAGAGCTCTGAAATTGCCCCTGCCCTGCAGCTTGTCCCACCTGGCCATTGTCATGGATTCTCTGTGAGGTCACCACCTCCCAACATCTTTGGACCAATAAGCTGAGGCGCTGCAAAAGGCCCTTGTGATGTCAGTGCCACAAGCCCTTGTGATGTCACTGCCACACCCACCCCTCAGATTTGCAGAGATTTGCAGCCTGCAAGGCCAGAAGAGATCGTGAGGTCAGCTACTGCGACCCCGCCCCCGGCTACGTATCACAGACCTCCTGTCTGGCGCAGAAGTGAGTTTTGGGCCAAAGCGCACCCGCGAGAGGCCTCTGCTCTTCACTGGGACGTGTCCCGGGATGGAGACGCCCCCCTGCCCTGGGTAGTTTGGAGGGAATGGATGCCATGCAGGGAAGGGAACTGAACCCGAGGCCTTGCTTGTGAGTCTGGCAGTGCATTATAACACACATAGGGTTGCTAGGTGTCCAGTTTTATACCGGACAGTCCAGTTTTTGCGCTCTTTGTCCGGTAGAAAAATTCAGCAAATACCGGATATATGCAATGTCCGGTATTTTCTGAATTTCCGGCTGGGCGCCGGACGGAAGCCTGGCGGGGGAGGGACTGGGAGGTGGGGCCACGATTGGCGCTAGGAGCCCTGTGGTCGTGTACAAAAGCAGAACGGGGCGGGGCAGGGGCAGT